GAAAGTCTACCGTGACTTGATTGATAACGAACACTCCGAAATATATCCATGTTTGATTGGTTCAAAGTTGTAGAGCGACCGCAGAACCAAGCGCAACACCATCCGATGAGAAAGCCGCCAATCTTTGTGCCTTTTTAATAAACTTTTACCCTTTTGACTATGAAACACTGTAATTCATTTGTGGATGACAACAACGTTATCTGCTGAAGCTGACAACGATGTTTCTCCTTGTGTTTGCACTCGTTTTTCCTTTCTGAACCTAAAGACATAAACACACGCCGAAACTGCAAGCAAAACAATACCGGTTGCTCCACACATCAAGCTGGAAATCACTAATGCTTCCCTCACGCGATCTTTACTGTTGTGGTGAACCGGCATCCCTCCTCCATCGCCGCCAATCCACGTCAAGTTTTTCGCAATGGGCAGCGCCACCGGCGGCTGAGCATTCCGCCGACCACTACCGCCGAAGGACGAGAGCATCTCCGGAACGTCGTCATTTGTGGTTGGTGTGGATAATAAGCCTTGGTTTGTCAACCCGTGCTCCGCTGGACGGAGCTCTCTTGATTCATTGGTAGATCCTGCTGGTTGGCTAGAATAATTTTGCTTTAAATACTTTGTACTATGGAGAATATAGGAACAATGGACCTGGAGCATCGACTAGTAGGAGAGTCAGGTGGCGTGGGTATTGAGTGATCACAAATTCAAATGAAGCAGCAAAGTTCAGTGTGGAAAATTTTATTGCTGGTCGATCATGGTTGCCTGCAACCAATGTGCCATTTCCCTATCTTAACAATGAGCTAAATTGGAAATGGGTCAGAAGCCAATGAGTCAGTCATCTATGGAGAAATATAGAGGAAAACCGGAGAAAAATATTATAAGAATACAATTAATACATAAGGAGAAGGAAGAATATCTTGACTATCTATTTTTTTTTTTAAAACCATTAGTTCAAGTCCTTTTCGTAGACCCTTCAAACGGTCCGTTTTATAGCAATACAGTACCTTTCTTTGAATCTTGATATGTTCAAGATCTCAACAAATATTTCTTTTCTAATTCATCTGCAATCTTGAGTGTCCAAGCAAGATAGACAGCAAACGAAAGGATAATGCTACAACAAGTAGAAAGTGGAACTGGAGTTGAATTTAGATCCAGAGGAAACTAAAATTTTAACTAGAAAATCCCCACAGACGTTGCCAAATTGTTTGACTCAAAAGTTATTAAACACTTTTTAAGCAAATCAATCAATAAAGATGAAGGGGTAAATCCTAGTTAAAGATAATTAACTCTAGATCCGAGATGAGCAGGAGAAATAGGAAAACATAGTCAAATACAAATGTTGACATCGATTAAGATCGGATTTAATGGCATAAGTAAAGATGCATTAAGTAACAAAAATATGAATAAAGGGAAAGATTCACCCGATCTTCAGTGAGACGGATCTTCTTTCATTTAATAAAGATCAATGGTAGACAAATACAAGAACCTTATGACCCTTTTTGGATCCGATGAAGGTATGAGATCATTGATCCTCTCAATTCTTTGGAGAGGTGTGTTTACATATTTTTTAGAAAGAGGGAGAGGGAGACAGAGAGAGAACCCCCTTTTTGGGAAGTCCTCCCCTCCTATTTATAAGGGGGATATCCATAGAAAATCCTAAAAAAGGGTACAATTTAGAAGAGTATTCGGCAGAATATTCCTTTTGAGTATTCCAAAGCAAACTGGCTGTTTGATGACGGTCCGACCTTGGCCTGTCTGACCACGACCTTATGTCTCCGCGTGCCGAATTTCTCTAATCTAATTTTGACCCATACAATTATATATATTCGAAAATGACAATGATTGGAGTACTAATTAATATTTTTACTGCTATGTCGAATAACTTCAATAACAAATATTCCGCGTAAATTCTTAACTTTTTGTGGTCAATATATATTCTTTGCGTACATGTGACTATTTCTATGCCTATTCCTATTATCATAACTGGAAAAGTCAGTTCAGTGACGAGAATCTCAATTTAAATCGCAATAATGTACAAGTTGAGCTTGAATTTCCTGACTAGTGTTTCCGACTTTCCGATTCCGTTACTGATTATGTTAAGAAAAATCAAGGAATTTTTTGAGAGACATATATATACATTCACCACCAGATCATATGCACAGTGGAGGTAATTAAGCAATATTAACCTCACGTACAACTAAGAAGAAGACAATTAAACTAATATACAAGAAAAAACCCTCTTGATCAAAAAACATGACCAACCCCCAGAATATGAAAAAAAAAAAAAAAAAAAAACTACCTAGGCTAGGTGCATGCATAAATTTCACACGCGATTAATTTTCACAATAAAAGTGAAATTATTTTTCAATGCCAATATATATTTTTCGACAATTAATCGTTGAGATTAGGGGTGTACATGAACCGGGTTGGTACGGTTTTTATCAAAATCAAACCAAACCAACTATATCGGTTTGGATTGGTTCGATTTTGTCGGGTTTTACGGGTTTTGTGTTTCTTAAATATTATTTCAATCTTTACTTTGCTAAATTTTTATAAGTTAATATATGTTTAGTAAAAATATAAAAAATTAACAAATATATTATCTATTAAAATATTCTTATGGGAGAATTTTCTTAGTAACACATAATAGTTATTTTTTTAGTCGCCTGACAATAATATTTCGTTGATGTACACTTTCAAGGTTAACCGAATTTAGTAATTAAACATAAAAATTAATGTGATACCTAAATAATAATAATAATCACTTCACACTCGAAAAGATATAAGATTAATAGATCTTAACATATGATACGAGTATATGGAAGAACAAAGATCAATAACACTTGATGAGAAAGTTATCATACAACCCATTATTTAAGATTAATAAATACAGAGCACTTCATATGCTATTAAATATTATATCCCGCCAGAGAATTCTATATAAAATCTTAAAATTATATACTAATATATCGGTTTGATTGAATGTTTTTACTCAATACCAAACCAAACCAAACCAAACTTAGTGGTTTTGTAATCGGTTTGGTTTGAGATCTAACCGGGAATGGAAATGGAAGTTGATTGGAGAAGTTTTTGTGCTACAGAAAGTTGTTCCATTAAATTGATTACACGTGTCCTGTAAGCCCGAGATTGGTTCACAGCCTCGGCTTCAAGCTCCCCTAGCTGAGAGCAAAGCCGCTCCTCAGCTTCCTCCGCCACCTTCAGCCTTTCCCATGTCTTTTTCAGCTCTTGTTTCATTTTCTCCTCCCTCTCCAAACTCTTCTTCAATTCTTTCTCCAACTCCTCATTTCTTCTCCGAAGAACCTCCGCCTCCGGCACGGCGGAGACCTCGCGTTGGTAGGATGTTGATTGGGCGGAGAAGGGCAGTGCTATACTCGGAGCCATTCTATATTCTTGAATGAAGTTGCTCCTCCAAAAAAGTCGGGAGCAAAGATTGCTTTTGTTTTGTGATTTGGAACTGATGCAAAAGACTATGGTGTTGAAGTGGGGTTTTATACACACATAGTGGGTATGTCTAGGTTCAATGTATCTGGCAACTCTTGAGGACAAATACTTGAAACTCTTCTTTGCCTTTGGTTTATTAATTTTTAAGTTCACAATAATTGTTGATCTGGGGTTGATTAAGTTTACATAATTAGAGAGATGCAAAGCTCTTGCTTTGTCCATCGATATAATAATAGAAACAGGTCCACTGTCTACATCCTCCTTACGTCTCATGACTTTTATAGTGCGTGCGTCATCAGATACGAAAAATAGTGAGAAAATGCAAACCCAACCCTCACCTCAAGTTCCGGGTCTGTGGTATTTCTTGTTCACTAGTCTTAGGGTACGCGCGTCTTGTGTGTCTACCTCGTATCAATGATTTTTTTTTTTAAATGGCATAAATAATATTCTCTCCGTTCCAATTTATGTGAACTTGTTTGACTGGGTACGGAGTTTAAGAAAAAATGAAGATTTTTGAAATTTGTTGTCCTAAATAAGTCAAAAAGTGCCCCAGAGTATTTGTGTGGTTGTAAAAGCTTCTCATTAAGGGTAGAATTTTAAGTTTAAGCTAAATTGTTACCAAATTTAAAAAGGATTCATTCTTTTTGGAACATACCAAAAAGGAAATAAGTTCACATAAACTGGAACAAGAACAGAGGGAGTATTCAAATATTATCCTTGACTTATGACATAGAAATTAAAAACTTTGCAAGTTCCTGAAAAATGATAAATGATGTTACTGTATAAATGTGTGGATCCAGTCAAGCGACTGTTCCTCCACTTTGCTCGGGTAAACTTTTCATAATAAGATCAAGGGCTGCAATTCGTTGTCACTAAAACTTGAAGAAATTTCTTGCTTTAATGAGGCACATATTTCTTCATTTGTTTTATTTTGCTGAAGCTTCTTGCTTTAGTGAGATACTATATTACAATACTTATGCTTAAAGCTGAAATAAAAAAAAAAATAATGGATTACAACTTTTTGAATAATCACGTAGTTAAATTTCCTCGGATTTTCTGAATAAAAATGAAGCAGCTAGCAAAGCAGAACACCAGGTAAACTATGGGCTATGAAGATATCAAATACTTTTTGTTGTGCTAAAGATACAAAATTGTAATGAATAAAAGCAAAAGGTGTACTTCTTCAAATTAGCAAACATTGTTCTTGCAAAAGTACAACAAAATTTTGTCTAATTGCTCAAGATGCTCATCAAATGTCATTGAAAAGTAAATCCTAAACTGGGCAAGGAGTTTAATTTTTGGTTCACCCTAAACAGTCAAGTCTATGTTAACTGGGTCAACATCACCTATTTTGAGCATTAAATATTTTAGTCATGTTAAAAACCTTATTGAAATATAAAGGATGTAGGCACACGATTTTTTTTGGTTAACTGGACAGGTACACATATGATTAATAATGAGGAAAATTAGTGCACTTATTAGAAAGTAAAAGACACTTATATGCATAAAAATAATAGTGTCGACTGCAAGTATCATTTAGAAAGCAGAAATATTCAAGTGAACAGGCAATACCCGAAAGGGGCCCTACGCGGCGCGAATCCGGATATAGTCGGACTCCAATGCGGGTACTGGACACCGGGTGGGAAACCAAAAAAAAAAAATAGGCAATACCAATACACAAATGCCACTCTTTAGATACCATATTAATGCAGTCACCAACAGTAGTTTAAAGAACTAATGAAGGAGCTCATTTTAAAAGTTATCAGGTGTAAGCTGTGATAAAAACAAGGAGAGCACAAGCAACAGCCTAGGGAAGACTCCTACGTGACATTAATAAGCTACTATAAAAAAATTAAAAAAATAAAAACAACTCTATGTTAAATAGAGCAACATAGAAAGTCTCTTATAAGTTCTCCTTATTTATGTTCTTGTATTGTTTCTTCTAATTGACTTGCTTATTTATCACTGCAATTGTCCAACTACGTGCTATCAGAGGCTTTTTCTCGTAACTGGTAGATCTTTAACATTCACACTAATCGCAATCTCTCACTCATATACCATATGCTATCTAGAAATATATACAGGAACATACACTTGCACAAACACACATAGAGAGACACAAAGCATCAAAGAAAGAGACATGCACTACAATATATATATATATATATATATATATATATATATATATATATATATATATATATATATATATATATATATATATATATATATATATACGCGTATAACATTATCTGGTCATGTGTCAATGTACATGTATAAATGAATGCGATGCATGAGAATTACGTCAATAAAATCTTTCGGAATATCATAAGAACATTATGCCTTTGATTATATCATGAATTAAACTTTATCAACTTACGCATTTTCTGAGAACCATGAACAGGAAATAGAATAATAGGACACATGGGGAAACAAGAACATAAGCATCTCTAGCATTTCTATGAATAGAGTCATTTATGGAAGTTGTGCATTTGCTCGTTTCGTTTGTATCGTATGGATCATGCCAAAAGGAAAGAAGGGATAGCCCTAACATAAGTGAGCCGATTGAAAATCCCTCTAACACACGACAATTGCGACAAAACACGTGACCGCAAATCAAAGTAAGGAAAAATCCGTATCATATTCTTAAGAAAGGTTATACCGGCCTTCCTTAGAATTGCAAAATCCCGTTGCTACGATGGTAAGAAGTCTCGTTTGAACTCTTTGCTGAAGCCTCACCCGTTACATAGTAGTTGTAAGCATTCCATTTTGTGAATCAGAGAGGGTCTCTTAACCTTTGGTAGTGGCCCCACGTATGTGATGACTAAACCACCAAAAATCCCCTAAAGATGCCACCTTTCACATGTATTTAGAGTCATTACTCGGGCATTTGATCCAACCTCATGGGCTGCCACTTTTGAGGGGGGGGGGGGGTAGGGAGGGGCTTGTTAAGCTTATCAAACAATTAAATTATTTGGTTAATCTCCCACTAAAAACCAATAATTACCTGATTATTCACATATTAAGAATTATCTCAAATTACCTAAAATACTACTCACCTTTAACATACCTTATATACCTTATATACCATGTATGGCACTAGTCCATAATATGGGGTATTGTAGCTTGGACTGTATTTTACCTCAAAATGTCAAACTTCGACGAAACTCATTTTCTTCCATTCATTTACCCTCTGACCTTCGCGGTACTTACTTATCACTTGTTTGAAATACCATAATACTTATCACCTCAAAATAATCTTGTCCTTGAACTAATTTCAATTATCTTACGACAAATCCAACGTATAATACTACGAGGTGTAACATCATCGTAATACTGTGAGGTGTAACATCATTCCCCCTTTTGGAACATTCGTCCTCCAATGTTGACTGATGTGCTTATCATTCTCATAACCCATACCTCTTGCAAATACTTTAATACTCTCCTTGCAATTTAGGCAACTGTTCTGTAAGTAAATCCAAAGGCCAGGGCATTCCCCCCTTTCGGCCTCTTTCTCATACCATGACTTGTGGTCGGAATCCTTCCAATCTCGTAACTGTTGCTACCTTCTATCATGCAGCCTGTACGACACTGACCTTGTAAGTGCGCCTATGTGATTCTTCTTTCCCTTTTTCTCCAGCTTTTAGTCAATCTCTAGGCCTCACTTTGTATACATATACATAAAATGTCCCTCTAGGCATCTATAGGTATAGTGAAGTTTTTCGCTCGATATTTTGTTGAACTTACGAATATTTCTATACCTTATTTCCTAGACCCGGTTATCCATCCGTATGACTTTACTGTATCTCGGTAGGTCATTCTATACCATAACTCTTACTTCGATTTATCGTTACTGAGGTCTGCTACCAAATATCAGGTTACTCTCGTTGCTTGTCCTATATGTATCAGTCTAAGTCCTTTAATGCTTCCTCATTACTGTCCATCTTAAGAATGACGGCCTAATCTCATCTCATATTTTGTAACTTTTATCCATCCATTGTTGATTCACCTCAATATTGATCTATAATCTACCACTGATAACTTGACCTTTTATGTCACGTCTCATCGTGGAACATCTGAAATGATTAGACTGATCCACCAGGGGGATACCATGCTTTCATAACCGTATTTCAGAGCACCCAATGTGATTCACCTTACATGGGTATTTTAATCCTGTACAATTCATGAAATCCCTTTTTCTTCTTCAAATCATTACTAAATCGAAGGCCCAAACGTCATCCTTCATGTATTACAATTACACCCTCATTCTACTACCGGGACAATATTCCATCTCTTCTAAGCGCTACTAGTCTTAGACTCCTTTAAGTTCATTCAGGCTATATTGAGCTTTCTATAACTTAAAGAAACCATTAGCTCTCTTGTTTTCACGGGCTTAATCCTATGGGCTTATTCATTCTCGTTACCTTCTCACTCGCCCTTTCTTATCCTTACTCCTGTCTTCCTAAAACCTTGTCGCTTTACCATACTTTAGCTTGCGACCTACACATATTTATTTATATTACTCACAACCTTCCTTCAACTTGCTTGCACCATAGATTTCTTTGTGTTATTCTGTAACATCAAGCGAGACAACATATCATCTCTAACTCCTCTTTACTCTCTTAACTAGACGTCTCAGTATCTAGAAACCACGGGCTGGAAGATATGCCACTGACGACGCCGCTATCATTCCTGGATACTGAATCCCAGCGCTTCTAGCCTTCTATTTGAAGTATGGACTATTCACAACCTTTTGTACTTGAGTATCTCATACGTTGTTCACCTTTACCTTACTTACCTTAAAATCTCGCATCACATCTTCTATATCTTTCATGAACTTCCTTCCACATAGGTATAATTCACATCTACTATAATACTTGCACCTCTGGTGCATACACAATCTGATGGGAGCTTCATACTGACTTCTTATGAGGCTGTTACTCTTCTAACTGGCTTTATCGTAAAGTCGTTATATAATATGGCTATTGTACTATCTCTCTTGTACCTTTGATATTTAAGAGTGATCCTGTAATGTTCTCAA